TCCAAGATTATCTTCTGTGTCTGTGTTAATTGGTTTCCCTTTTCTTTGTTGAAGAGGGTCTGTGCAATCCTTCTGCCTAGTCCGCCATCTTGCCGGAACTACTCACCACACATAATATTTTAAATAAAGACAATTACAAAGTCATACTTGTGCCTAACATGATCCAACTAACACATGTACAACTGAAAGTGCATTAGCCATGTTTACATCTTATATTTTATAATAGAAGAAAACAAAAACATTAGATATATTTCTTCCTTAATGTAGTGGTAAAAAGGAGCTCTGCTGGTGTAGTGCATTTGACTGCTAACCAGAAGGTTGGTGATTCAAACCCACTAGCTGATGGGGCAATCTACTTCCAAAAAGATTTACTGCCTCAAAAATCCAACAGGGGTTGCTATGAGTTGGAATCAACTGGATGGCAGTGAGTTTAGTTTGTTTTTTTGTAGTGGTAAATGGTGTAAATTCTGTGCACTCCATGTGTGAGTCTGGCCTCTAATCTGCTAAATCAATTCTAACATGCCTATTTCTCTAAGTCTTTGGATATTGTCTTCTACATTATACCAAAGCAGGTCTGGTACTTCAACTTGACTTAGTGTAGCATAATCCATGCTTCAGTAAATCAACCAAATAAACTATTAGATCCTTTCCTAACCTCTTGAGCTGAAACAGTGGATGAAGGATCTGTCCTTAGTGAGCGCAAATCAATAAACCAGGACTGATCCAACATCATGTTCCTTATACCATTATCCTACATCCGTAATAGCCATTCCCACACATATTCTCCAAGTTTTTGTTCATACATATTAGCAAAATTAAGCAGTTATTTTCAAACGAAGCATACATCTTCCTGGGTCACACTTTGTACTTCATGTTTTGGGGCTCACTGGGACTTAAGTCTAATTATAGGTCTAGAAGCAACAGTGGGTGTTAGGGTGGCTCATGGGCACATTCACCAATGTTGTGTAAGGCATCTGCCTCAGGCAATGCCCCAGACAATGCCCCATGTGATGTTCCAGATGATATCTTAGACAGTGATTCAGCAGGCACAGGTGGGTTATTCTCGTCAGATGTGGGTGAGAGGGCTGGTTTTGTTGGCAGTAGTAATTCAATAGAATTTAGGAGTTCATTGTCCCCAGCTTCCTGACTACCTGCCCATATATCCCCATCCCAAGTTTCATGATCCCATTCCTTCCCAATTCCAAGTGTCAAAAATCCCATTTCTTACTCACACTTTAACTTCAGACACCATTTGAGGTTGGCAATTCATTGGCTTTGTAATTCAGCCACTGAGTTTGTTTTCTGCAATATCAGCTCTGTTACTACAAGAAGTAAGGATTTCATTCAGGGCACAATTGGAAACATTGAGGTGTTTTCACCAATACCTGATCTTTGGTGGTGCTATTTTGTGTATCAATATTGCCACCTCATGCCATGGACCAGCAGTGCCCTCTTTATTAATGAAGGAATTGTTATCAGTACATTTATGACTAATCAAACTTGAGAGCCAATTTAGAAAACTCATCCTTACAATTTTGTTTCTCTAGATCCACTCTTGCTACCAAATGTCAGGCTGGTTTCTCTAAAGAAGCAAAATCAGTGAAACTTATTGTGCTTCAGGGCATTACTTGGTATGGCCATTCTTGCTTCTAAGGAGCATTCTGGCTGCACTTCTTCCAGGACTGATTTGCTCTTTCTTCTGGGAGTCCATGGTATTTTCAGTATTCTTCACCAACACCACATTTCAAAGGCACTGATTCTTCTTTGGTCTTTCTTATTCATTAACCAGCTTTTGCATGCATCTGAGCCTATTTAAAAGAACATAGTTTGGGTTCCCCACACCTTAGTCTTCAAGTGACAACTTAGCTCTAAAACACTTTAAAGAGGTCCCTTGCAGCAGATTAGCCCAGTGCAATACATCATCTGATTCTTTGACTGCCGCTTCCATTGGTGTTGATTGTGGAAACAAGTAATATGAAATCTTTGACAACTTCAATCTTTTCTCCATTTATTGAGATGTTGCTTATTAGTCCAGTTGTGAGGATTTTTGCTTTCTTTATGTTGAGGTGTAATCCGTACTGAAGACTGTAGTCTTTAATTTTCATCAGTAAGTGCTTCAAATCATTGTTACTTTCAGCAAGCAAGGTTGTGTTGTCTGCATATTGCAGGTTGTTAATGAGTCTTCCTCCAATCCTGATACCACATTCTTCTTCATATAGTCCAACTTCTCAAATTATTTGCTCAATACACAGATTGAACAAGTATGGCAAAAAGATACAACTCTGGCACACAGCCTTCCTGATTTTAAACCATGCAGTATCCCCTTGTTCTGTTCAAAGGATAGCTTCTTAGTCTATGTACAGATTCCTCAAGAGCACAATTAAGTGTTCTGGAATTCTCATTCTTCACAATGTTGTCCATGATTTGCTATGATCCACACAGTCAAATGCCTTTGCATAGTCAATAAAACACAGGTAAATATCTTTCTGGTATTCTTTGCTTTCAGCCAAGATCCATCTAAAATCAGCAACAATATCCCTCAGTCTATGTCCTTTTCTGAATCCACCTTGAATTTCTGATAGTTCCCTGTCAATATATTGCCCCAGCCATTTTTGAATTACTGAAAACAAAATTTCACTTGTGCATGACATTAATGATATTATTTGGTAATTTCCACATTCTGTTGTATCACTTTTCTTTAGGATGGGCACAAATATTGACATCTTCCAGTCAGTTGCCCAGGTAGTAGTCTTCCAAATTTCTTGACAAATATGAGTAAGTGCCCCCAGCACTGCATCAATTTGTTGAAACATCTCAGTGGGTATTTCATCAATTCCTGGAGTCTTGTTTTTTGCCAATTCCTTCAGTGCATCTTGGGCTTCTTCCTTCAATACTATTGCTTCTTCATCATATTCTACTCCTGAAACAGTTGAAATCAACTAATTCTTTTTGGTACAGTGACTCTGTGTATTCCTTTCATCTTCTTTTGATGCTTCCTGCATCATTCAATATTTTGCCCATAGAAGCTTTCAATATTGCAACTCAAGGCTTGCATTTTTTCTTCAGTTCTTTCAACTTGAGAAATGCTGAGCACGTTCTTCCCTTTTTGTTTTCTAATTCCAGGTCTTTACACATTTCATTAGAATACTTTACTTTCTCTTCTTGAGCCACCCTTTGAAATCTTCTGTTCAGCTCTTTTATTTCCTCATTTCTTCCATTCACTTTAGTTACTCTCTGTTCAAGAGCAAGTTTCAGAGTCTCTTCTGATATCCATTTAAGTCTTTTCTTCCTGTCCTGTCTTTTTAATGACCTTTTATTTTCTTCATGTATAATGTTTTTGATGTCATCCCACAACTCAACTGGTTTTCAGGCATTGGTGTTCAGTATGTCAAATCTACCCTTCAGATGGTCTTTAAATTCAGGTAGGATATATTCAAGTCATATTTTGGTTTTCTTATTCTTATTTTAATTTTCTTCAGCTTCAGTTTGGACTTGCGTATAAGCCATTGATGGTCTGTTCCACGGTTAGCTCCTGGCCTTCTTTTGACTGAAGCTATTGACCTTCTCCCCCACCTCTTTCTACAGATGTAGTCAATCTGTAGTCAATCTGTGTATTGCATCTGGTGAAGTCCAGGTGTATAGCTGCCATTTTGTTGCTGGAAAAAGGTATTTGCAATGAATAAGTGATCAGTCTTGCAAAATTCTATCATGCGATGTCCGGCATCATTTCTATCAGTGAGGCCATATTTTCCAACTATCGAAGCTTCTTCTTTGTTTCAAACTCACATTCCAATCACCAGTAATAATCAATAGATCTTGATTTCATGTGTGGTAATTTCAGACTGCAGAAATTAATTTCTTCATCTGTGGCTTTAGTGGTTGGTGTGTAAATTTGAATAATAGTAGTATTAATGGTCTTCTTTGTAGATGTATGGATATTATCCTATCACAGACAGCACTGTATTTCAAGTCAGATCTTGAAACATTTTTTGCACAATGAGTGCCATGTCATTCTTCAATGTGGCATTCCCAG